ATATGCAAAACTGATAATGCAAAAAAAAAAAACTATGCAAAACTGCTGTATTTAAAAGTTGTGAAGAGAAATGCAATAATAGATTTAATCACAGATTTATTTTACTGTTCAGGTCAGTAAAGTGTTGTGATCTAACTGCAGCAATTACTAACATTGTTCTGCATGAAATAGATGGATCCCAGGCGAAGGAGAACAATGTGTGAGTCTGAAGGTGGTTGCTGAAAGATCAGGCTCCTCTCATAACTCTCCTGTGCTTCAGGAACATCGCCTTGCAGGTAGTGGCAGTGACCTTTCAAGGCCCAGGCATCCGGGTTCTGGTCATATCAACAACAATGATTTAAATATTAGTAGTTTATATGTTTGTCTAAAATCAGGACTAAATCTTGAGTAGATCATGGGATAAATCAAAGAGTGAAAACATCTCTGAAGAGACGTTTTCTCATCATTTGAAGGATTAGAACACCTTTACAGATGTCATTTGATGCTAAACAGGAAGATGAAAACTAAGATGGCCGGTCGGTTTGATTTCAATAATATTTCAATTTAATTAATAATTAAATGCTGAATCTCCAAGAGCACAGTAAAATAACTATTTTTTATTTCTTATAAAACATATTTTATGAAAAAAACAAAATTTTAAGCTTTTAAAAATTATCTAGGATCCAAAAGAATCCTTTGCTGATACTGAGTGGGACCTAACAACGACAATAACATTTTTTTATGTAGATTTTTATGTACAGTAAGCCAGAGAGTCCTCATCAAATGATCATGTCATGCATTACATCTCTTTAGGCAGTTTTAAGTATTTTAAGTGTTTTTAGGCCAAAAAATAGAAAATAGACTTACCGGTATATAAGGCATAAGCTACATGTTGTAAAAGTATGAAAAATAACTCAGTCATTAAGTTAAATCTTACTCCGTGCTTGTAATTTAGGAAAACAGTTGAATTTCCATTATATAGCTTGTGTTACAGCACTGTAACCAGGACCATCTCAATTCTTCATATGAATAGGATCAGCAGCCTACTCAATTTGTTTATATCAACACTTCAGATAGTTTAAACATTTTCTGATTATTTCTAAGAACCTTTTATAATTCCTCTATATAAAATATAAAAACTTAATAATCAAAGGTAGCTATAAGTCTACGTCCTCCCGGACAGAATGTGGCATACTTGCGCTGGCCTGCTCTCATTTCCACCATCATGTATACTGTTTGCCAGCCGCCTGTGGGGTCCGCAGTCTAGAACAAGATTAGTAACCTTGCTTCTGAACCCTTTGCTTCCTAAAGTCAGAGCTGTCACAGAGCACTAGGATCTGGCAAAACCAGAGCTCCATCTCACAAATCCACTGTACCTACTGGTCCAGAATCTTTTTGTCGACCTTGACATCGTAATCGAAAGTAAATATTTATATACTATAGACCTGTAAAAATGTATAACACATTTTTCCATATACTACCTGTATATGCATTTCATTTCAGTAAAACTAATCATTTTATTCTGCACAACTCTAGGTGTTCTTTGCATGTCTTATTTTGGAAAAGCACAGCATTTCTGTTTGCCTATATTTATATTGAAATTCTGACAACTTTTATTACAGTAGATCAGACTATGATTAACTAACTATTTCTAGTAGTTGAAGCCCTTGTAATAATGGAGAAAATTCATTTTAAAAGTCTGCTGTGAACAGCGATGCAGTAGGAGGAAATTGTACATCTGGGAAAGAAATTATTTGTAAATCAACTTGTACAACTTGACTTTGAACTGAAATCCTTAAAATATGATTCCAAGCCATGAACAACTTTTTACAGAAACTATGTAGGTTACATCCTCATTGTATAGTATTTTACCTTTATTGGATTATCTAGGCTGTTTCTGGTCATACTTTCCGTAATAAAAGCCACAGGAACTGTAGAAGTACCTGATTTGTGTGAGCCAGTGCTTCTTCCAGGCTCCCAGCAGCACCAGTGTAATCACCTTTGAGCAGCTGTAACTTGGCCAGGTTAAAAAGATAGGCAAAACTGCAACCTCCTTCAGGACACAGCAGCTCCTGGGATAAAGCATATTCTGCCATCTGCCAACAGACCAGTTAGTTTTACAGCTGTTTATTCATAGAACTCTTAAACTGCTTCTTTATTGTTTGTTTGCTGATATTTACAGAATCAACATTTGACACTTCACAGCCTTAAATATTTCTCAACAGTTCTAACATAGAGGGCATAAATCATTTCTCAGCCATTAAACTAAAGGACCCTCTCTGTGTATGACCCTCCACTGCTAAACATTCTGCGTTTGCATACCTGCAGGGCGTTGTTCTGCAGCAAGAACTGCACTGTGTGTGTGAAAATGGTGAGTGTGAGATCAGCTGGAGGCTCCTTGGAGCTTTTGCTGTGTTCAGATGGCTCTATGTGCTCCGTTGTGTCCTGCTCTAAGAACTTTGGGTCTGCCAGAGAAACACAACAGCGAGCTCAGCTCCGTTCCTTAGACTGCACTTTAAAATGATTTTCATTCAATTTTAATATTTTTCCCTTGAAGAAAGAAACAAAAACTTCACCTTGTTCAGCTGTGGGAGACTGTGCAGGAATTTCTGGCTCCTTTTCCTTCTGCTTAGCCCTCACTTCTTCTATGTTGTCCGCGCTTTTTTTCATTCTGTTGTCTACATTTCCTTTATTATTGGCCTCATTTTCAAAAAGTAGACTCTTGGCCTCCAGGAATGCTTTCTCCGACAGGATGAACTCCTTCAGACTTAAATGCAGCAAACCTTGATAGCAGATACCAACAGAAATGTTGAATAGTTATGTTGAATAGTTAAATGTGCAGCATGCATGTTGTATTTAACTATTTCCCCTAACCCCTGGCTTTATTTACAGCTGCTAGAGGTCAAATGTTAAGCTATCAGTTAAAGTAAAGCTTCACTTAATTTCTTCCAATGGTTAGTCGGAGTAGCACTCCTGTGTGTTACTTACTTCTATTTGTGCTTTTCTTTAAATCTATCTGTTCTTCCAGAAACAATGCCAATTATAATCTATGTAGAACTCATGTTTAAAAACTGCTTCACTCCAAACATAATGGTTTAGAGTCTCTCAATTTCAGTCCTTGAGGTCTGATGTCCTGCACCTTTTATAGATGTTTCTCTGCTTCAGCACACATTGAGTCATCAGGTCATTAGGAGAACTCTGCAGAACCTGACTGCATATTGACGGATGGATTCAGCCATTAGATTGAGGAAGCAGGGACACATCTAAAAGGTGAAGGACCTCGAGGACCAGCATTTAGCCCCAACATTAATAACTAAATAAAGAGCTCCGAACTGACCCAGCAGCGTCCAGGCCACGACACTAGGCGGGTCTACACTGGTCGCCCGCTCCAGGAAGATCTGGGCTTCTTTGTAATGCTCCAACATCACAGCTACAACCCCACACATCATCAGGCTGGACAACCAAGAAAAGACATAAACTATATTAACAACTGGACTGCCGTAGCAAAGATGGATGGGTGTTGAATTTAAAGACTTGATCATCAAAGAGAAACCTTTACATATTCTACTCAGATAACCTGACCTCACTCAATATTGATTAAGACTGATGGTCTCTTTAAAGTGTGAAATAGTTCAATAGATGGAAATGAAATTTGTTGTTTGAATAAAATCATATTTGCAGCATATAGGAAGCATCGCTANGCCAATTATAATCTATGTAGAACTCATGTTTAAAAACTGCTTCACTCCAAACATAATGGTTTAGAGTCTCTCAATTTCAGTCCTTGAGGTCTGATGTCCTGCACCTTTTATAGATGTTTCTCTGCTTCAGCACACATTGAGTCATCAGGTCGTTAGGAGAACTCTGCAGAACCTGACTGCATATTGACGGATGGATTCAGCCATTAGATTGAGGAAGCGGGGACACATCTAAAAGGTGAAGGTGACCTCGAGGACCAGCATTTAGCCCCAAGATTAATAACTAAATAAAGAGCTCCGAACTTACCCAGCAGCGTCCAGGCCACGACACTAGGCGGGTCTACACTGGTCGCCCGCTCCAGGAAGGTCTGGGCTTCTTTGTAACGCTCCAACATCACAGCTACAACCCCACACATCATCAGGCTGGACAACCAAGAAAAGACATAAACTATATTAACAACTGGACTGCCATAGAAAAGATGGATGGGTGTTGAATTTAAAGACTTGATCATCAAAGAGAAACCTTTACATATTCTACTCAGATAACCTGACCTCACTCAATATTGATTAAGACTGATGGTCTCTTTAAAGTGTGAAATAGTTCAATAGATGGAAATGAAATTTGTTGTTTGAATAAAATCATATTTGCAGCATATAGGAAGCATCGCTAACCTGGGTTGGTGTGTTTGCTGGGTGGACACAGCGGCACGGTAACACTCTTTGGCTTTCATGTAGTCCCCCATTAACATGCACAGGTTTCCCCACTCATACTTGCATAAAGCTTCATCAGGGTGCATCACCACTAACTGAAGGTAAACACACAGAAATGACCGTTAGTTTACCAGCCGGATTCGGTGGTAACCTGCATTGAGTTTTTGATACAAAAATTAAAATAAACAAAAGTGTTATCTTCTTGCAGCTCTGCGGTGCTTTCAAGACTGGAAATTTGTCCCTATTTCTATACCTCTTGGTAGTACTGGGCCGCTTGCTGATAATTCCCAGTTAATTGGGCCTCTTTAGCAAACTGTCTTAGCTGACATGGTTCAAACTTTATTTCATGTATGGACTCTTCTTCAACAATATTGGAGGAAATCTGAAGGGAAAGTAAAATAAAAAATAGAGATTACCAAACAAGCAAAAGGATCTCCTTAAATGAATGAGTGTCAGTGTGTCACCTTGTTCAGAGCCACATGCGTTTCATCAACCAAGTGGACGTAGAGCTTGCTGACAAATTCTTTCAACTCTTGAGGATTGGTGAAAGCCTCCGTCCGCTGCATCTTGTCACGTACAATTCTCACTACAGCCCTCTACAAGCCGGAAACATATAGACTTACTTTTGTTGAGCAGAAGAGGATCGCTTATAACAGATATATCATGGATCCATCCATTGAGATCATCTTGTTGCTAAGTTGCTAATCTGACCTTCATTTGTTCTTTGAAGGTGAAATATCTTCCAGACACATTAAGGCCTCCCATCACCTCAGCCAACATTTGCTCATGGCTAAGGCTTTCCACAGAATTGTTACCGGTATTTGATCCAAGTAATTCGGCATACTGCTCAGAGATGGCAGCCACTGTGTCGCCAACCTGCCTGTGAAAATATTGCACGGCCTGCAAGATCACAAATAAGAGATGATAGAGTAATAAAACCTTGCCTGACTGCAAGAATCACTTATTATATTTATATAATTTTTTTTTTTTTATTCACTCTGTCTGCTCTGCTAGGACCAGCTGGGTGGTCAGGTCTGGGAGGGATCAGCGCCTTCACCCTGCAGAAATTGAAAAGACATCTTTTAGGCAAATAGTCAAAAAGGAACAAAAAGGCTCAGTGTCATTACAGGTGTTTGTTTTGTTTTGTTCATTTTTTTTTGTCAAAGGAACAACATAGTTTTCCAGTGTTGCAACCCAGACTTCATTCTTCATTACACATTTAACAAATCAGTGTTTCCATGGTAACTAGAAGAGGCACAACATGGCATGTAAAGGTCTTTTGTTCAAAAGCGGAAAATCATCTGAGGCAAGAAAACAATACATATTTAAGTTATTTGGAACTAAGCATTTTTAGCAGACTCCAAATTGTTCGTTTTTGTTGCATTAGACAGAAGTTTTATATTCTCACTCCTGTGTGGAGTCAGTAAATGGTTTGAAGTGAACTCCATCTTAACAAACAGTGTCCTATTTTTATCTTCCTAATCTGTTAATGGTGGCAAAGACTGAAGAAAGTTTTTAGGAGGACAATTTCATGGTTTAGGATGCTTTTGAGTCTTTTGATATACTTTTTTATGTTTGTTCTCTTCTGTGTTCTCCAATCCCTTTTTTCCCTGTTTTAGTTTGAAAAGAAAATCACTAAAACCAAAAAAAAAACTGTTCTAGTACAAAAACCATGTATGATTTATGTTTTTTATTATTATGTTTTTTTATTATAAGAATTTCTAAAGAACCTTCTGCATTTAGATTCTCCTTCTTTCTGCTTGAGAAGAATCAAGATAATAAACATACTATGATTTTAGACACTATTTAACTTATAAGAAAAAGTTGAAGTTGTTCAACATCTCTCTCTTCTAACTTATTGTTCAGATTTAAGATTTTCCAATAGCTTATCTCCCTGTGAAACAAAATCCCAGACAGATAACTTTAAATTAAAAGAAGTGGAAGCATAATAATACTGATACTGAGACAGTTGTTAATAATCAGTATTTTATCTTTTTAGAAATCAGTCCACTTATACATCTACAATACTGACTTGAATCCCAGTCGGCCTCAGCAGATGGGCGCTCACACTGAGCCTGGTTCTGCTGGAGGTTTCTTACTGTTAAAAGGGAGTTTTTCCTCTCCACTGTCGCTACAAGCATGCGTAATGTGAAGGATAGCCTTCGAGTCAATGAGTCGCTGCAATCAGCTGGTTTTACTTAGATAGAAAACTTTGAACCAGTCTGACTGGATGATCTGGTTGAATTGTCTCTTTAAAGTGCCTTGAAATGGTGTGTTGTGAATTGGCACTATATAAATATACTGAATTGAATCTGAATTGATTTTGATTATTTATTAGGATTTTTTTGGAGGGGAGAGTTTACATTTCTTATTTGCTATTTGTTATTAAATAAAAAGTTGCGACAGTTTACTTTTATGGCTTTATAAAAGTGAAGTTTCTGCTTCACTCCCTTGTTTTGAAATAGAATAAAAAAACACAACAGAAGTTTTATATTTTTCTTCTTGTGCTCTAAGAAAGTACCAAAGTATGTCATAAATTAAAACAAACACTGCACTGATCGATCCTGATTTCATCCCTTTTCCCCTTTAATTAAATACAATCAATTATCCACAAAAATAGCAGCTCCCTATTTTTTGTTTCATTTTCACAAATTTAAACACATCATGAGCAAGATTTCCACAGTACACAGTGTGCTCACATCAAAATAAAAGAATCCAAGTAAATCATAGCTGTTTAATGATGCAAGAAAACAGGTAGAGTTGAAGCTCCTAATACCATTTGAAATGATAGGGTGGTCCTAAAATAAGAAGATGCAGATGCCAAAAACTGAAATCACCAATCGCTATGTTTAAGGACCACTTTACTGTCCCTTTTAAGAAAAAAAAACACAATGATATTTATAAAGTGACCAGATTTATGGGCTTCAAAGCTTGAGGACGATGTAACTGCGTAATCGTGCACAGGGAACTGCAAAAGGTTCCGGTGATTTTTTGACACTGCAAATGTGCCCTTTAAATGGTGTAATACTTTTGTAAGTAAGAAAAGCAAAAATTTGGACAAAATCAACACACTCATGTAATATGGGGATCAGTTAAACCATCAAGCGGTGGTGTACCTTCTAGCCAGTTCTTCAGCGGAGGGTTTTGGCACCAGCGGTTTATTCAATGATATCTTGATGATAATGTAAGTTTTGGCCTTCAAGTACATCTGTTAATGAAAAAACAGTTGTATTTTTAAGTGAAATAAAATATACAAAAACCATCTGAACATATGTACCTGTGCTGCTCATACAGTCTAAAACTGTGCCGCAGCTAAAATCAAGGTGTGTGCAAAGCATACTTAATAAGTAGATTTTTCAGTGTTACTGCAGCCCTGAGCTGCTGAGGAAGTGAATTTAATGGTAACTTACATTTTCTTCTACATTTACTGGCCACGCACTGTCAGAAAAGCTTTCAGGAGTGCCATCTTCTTCAGGCACCCTGTCGGGATAGACAGCTTGCTGTCATATAAAAAAAAAAAATCAGACATCACATGATGACACATTTACAACAAATAATTTCTTATTGAAATTGTGAATTAATCTTTACTGTAAAATCTGCCCATTTCTCACCTTTTTAGCTGACTCTTTGCTATCTTTGCCTGCCCTACTCACTCCTCTCCAGTGCTTTGTTATTCTTCCGGAAGCACTTGCAGCAGAGCATGCCCGATCTTTAGCCTGTATGGCTGCAGCCCTCGCCTGCTTCTTTAATACACTGACTTTCCGCTTGGTCTGTAAGTGGGAAATCAAAGCCAAGCCCAGTTTACCAACAAGGAAGAATGTCATGCTATAAACAGTATGTATATGATCCTTTATAAGAAACTCTCTCATGTAAAATAATCACTAGACCACCCTTGTATTCTTCTTCTCAATGTCTGATACAACTAAAGATACTTTTTTTTAGAAGTATAAAAATAGCAACACAAATAGTTCATAAAAGTTAAGTTCAAGAACTGATATCTTACAATTTTCTGTTTTTGCTTATAGTAATGAAAATCAATTTAGTTACATCAATAGCTGTGACATTGTATCGCCAAATACACAAGTTCTGTTTTTTTTGTCTATTTTGTTCACATGATACACACAGGAGTTAGAACTTGATTGCCAAACCATTGTTTTTGAAAATGAGGGTGGTCTTACTTTTTTCCTATGACTGCATATTTCAAGCACTAAAATCTAAAGAAATGTAAATGCTAACAGACATCTTTAAAATCTGTATTTTTCTGACTTTGTTTAGAAGCTCAGTCTCAAAGAAAGGCTGAACAGAGAATGCTCCATGGATGAGAGAGTCTCCAGGATATAACAACCGGCCCATGTCGACAAACGCCAAACCATGGAAGGGGATCTGGGGGTCGTCCTCTCCTAGCTACAAGCAAACATATAAAAAACATGAATCAGATGCTCAATATTATGAACTAATAAAAAGCTTTTCTTTTTTTTTTTTTTTTAGGAAATTTACCATTTTAGAATGATTAAAGTGTTGTCTTAAAATCCTACAGGTTTTTTTTTTACCTTTTCTAGTGGAACTGAAGACCTCATTATCTCCACAGGCCACAGTCGGCTCTCTAAGATTTTCTGTTGTAATCTAAAAAAAGTAATCAAACAACATGAGGGCAAACCACCTTTACTTTTTATATTTGCTTCAAAAATTGAGCTTTAAGACTGAAACAAGTATGTATTTTTGGAGATCTGTTACACTTAAATCCTGTTCTGGTCTTTTTTATCTTGACCTCTTTTTATCCTGATGTGATCAAATGAATTATGAGTATGGAGACTGTAGTATCATAATTTTCTAATGTATAAATTTTGCTTAAAGGGCAGGACAAAACAGTAAGGAGATTTAAGGTCACA